GCCCTTGGCGGGAACACGCTCTTACCTGTCCTCTCATGAAGGCCTCTGCTAGGTGACAGGCTGAGCACAGCACAGAAACGGGACTGACCCCCAGACTGTCACTGCTGGGGGCAAGGGAAATGATTCCTGAGGCTGCCATCGAGCCCCTGCCCGGGGAGGTGGGGGAAGGCTGTGCTGGCTCCGCGTGGCTCCGGCAGCAGGTCAGCATGGAGGTGTCCGGCAGAGCTGGGGAGGAGGCTGTGTGGTCCCACCCGCAGCCATCGCCGCTGCCTGGGCCGTTGTTTTACTTGTCTGTGCTCACCCCTGGGGCTGCACTCGCAGCTTCCTGCCCCGGGGAACAGGGTGTAGCATACTGGATCCCAGCTGCCCACAGACAGGAGGAGAGGACCCGTAAAAACACTTCAGAGTGCGTGTCTGCTCTAGCAGGCTGAGCACAGCACATGGGCTCCCTAGTCCGGAGGCGTTACTGTTCCTCAAGCTGCAAAAGCAGACGGCGCTCCCCGATGTGCATTTGGGCAGAGCACAGGGAGCCATACCTGAATCCTCTAATGACTTTTCTTGGAGCAGGTGACACTGACTGACAGCTCCCGGGCTCTTACCTCTGGCTCTTTCCTCCTGCAGGTCCCAGACTACCTGGATCACATCAAGAAGCCGATGGATTTTCAGACGATGAAACAAAACCTGGAAGCCTATCGCTATCTAAATTTTGACGACTTTGAGGAGGATTTCAACCTGATTATCAACAACTGTTTGAAATACAACGCCAAAGACACAATCTTCTACCGGGCAGCGATCCGCCTGCGGGAGCAGGGAGGTGCCGTTCTCCGGCAGGCTCGCCGGCAGGCGGAGAAGATGGGCATTGACTTTGAGACAGGCATGCACTTCCCTCACTGCGTCACGGTGGAAGAGGCTCAGGTCCAGGACATCGAGGACGGTGAGTACCCATCCTCTGTCCCAGGGTATGAGGATTACTTGGAGGTAAAGCCCAGGCAGAGTCAGGGCACCTGGGGCTCTGCTCGAGCTGCTTCCCTGGAGAGGTGGGGGCTCTGCCAGCCCCATTAGGTTGTTTCTAGGCAGTGGCTTATCTGGGGTGTCCTGCCAGTCCCATGGTCCCTCGTCCTCCTCTTGGTCAGAGCAGGGGGCTGCCTGGGACATGGGTACTGTCACTTACCCTGTCCCCAGCACTGGCTGCGAGTGGCTGAGCCTCCTGCTGTGCTGCCCGGCTAGAAGGACAGACTCCCCCTGGTCAGAGCTGTGTGCTCCCCCCTCTCTCCCCAGCTGTGGACTTTGCTGGCTGCCACACAGCTCTTGATACCCCTCAGCCAGACCTCACTGGCCCCGTGGTTGTCTGCTTGTCTCTGGGCAGTGGGGAGCACCGCCAGGAACGGCTTGTAGGAGAAAGAGCCTTTCAGGGTCTCCCTCTCCCTGCTGCAGCACGGGATGGGCTCAGACAGGGGAACTTCTCTGCTCTGTGATGCTTCAGGATCCCTTTGACTCTTGTTTTTCCTGTCACAACCCCCTTTCTTTTTCCTGCTATGTCCTTGCCCCAGCCGATGGGAACCCTGGTATTCTCCAAGCTGCTGATCAGCCTGCTTTCCCCAGCAGTCCCAACTGCCTTGCTTCCCACAGGGCTCCTTCTCCAGGTCCTTTAGGGTAACTTCCCATGTTCACACGTTTGGTACCATGTCAGCTAATTCCCTCCTGCAGGGACCCTAGATTGCCCCGTGCTCTTTCAGGTAGAGAAGCTCCAAAGAGTTCCTGATTTCTTTCATCCATCTGCTCCTCTTTGTTCCCTCAGAAGATGTGCGGCTGCTGCTCTCGGAGAATCAGAAGCACCTGCCTTTGGAGGAGCAGCTGAAGATCCTGCTGGAGCGGCTGGATGAGGTCAATGCTGGCAAGCAGAGCATAGGACGGTCCCGCCGGGCCAAGATGATCAAGAAGGAGATCACAGTCCTACGGCGGAAACTCGCTCACCCACGGGAGGTGGGCCGAGACGGGCTGGAGCGGCACGGCTCCTCTGCCAGGGGAGTCCTGCAGTCACACAACCCCTGCGAGAAGGACCTGCAGACAGACAGCGCTGCAGAAGAGAGCAGCAGCCAGGAGACAGGCAAAGGTACGTGTCCCTCCGGAATACTCCCAGTTTTGGGGAGCGGTGGAGAAGTGCCTTTGGACGGGCTTGGCTGTGGGAGAGGCTGCTCTGCCGGGTGCCTCCTGAGGCAGGAGGGCTGCATG